TTCAGTTATGCAACATACTCTGTTTATACGGCAAAAGGCAAGTTTGCACTCCCACCTGATTTCCTGAGGATTGCCTTACACAACGCCAGCACAGCATGGTCTCCTTGTGAGCACAATATAAATAATTCCCAAGGAGAACTATCCCATTGCTCCTGTCCTTTCTGCCAAGGCTTCAGTCACCACAAAAGCATGGCATCTCTCCTGATCCGAGCCGGTCACATTTTGAAATGTTTTCTGGTAACTGTATACTTAGAGCAAGAAGTTCAGGGAAATGAACAGAATTCGACTTCCTAGGGAGCTCAAGCATGTGCCTGACTGCCTTTGGTTTCTAAGATGCAAGTTCATGTGTGCATTTCCTACAGCAGGGCTACAGACCACACAGCCTTATGCTCATAAAATGTTACAGGCGACCCTGGAAAAGGGAAGCTCTGTTTACTACGCCTGAGGTTCTATCTGCTGTTCAGACCAGTGGCCACTGGTTATAACCTCACTGATGGTGTATTCACCACCAGTGTTGTGGTGTTCTTGATGCTCTTCATGTGGCTTGAATAAACAAAATCCAGGTGACCATGCTGAGTTAGGGCTGTAACCAGAGAGGGTTAAAGGCTTCTGTTGAGAGGGCCCAGCCTCACAGGAAAAGCACAAATGGGGTACAGGGTAACACCTCTTTGTGGCATGGACCATTCAGGGTACAAGAAGGCTCCAGCTAGGGATACTTCAGCTCAAATGCTGTTACACCATCTCTTTTTACTTGGTTATTTATTTTTTATCAAAACTGTAAGAACCCCACTCTTTGGGATACCTTCCTCTCCTCCCTACCCAAATGTGACTGAAACTAGCCAACAGGTTCTGAACGTTGAGGGAAACTAAGGACAGATCCATGATGGGTTTTCCATAGTAAATCAAGCTAATCTCTTTTCACAATTAAAATATGCAGAAAGCATCACAGAGTTATTGTGTAAAATGGAAGAGCTCAAAAGACAGCTTGGTTACAAATATGGTAATAGGTCAGCTCAACAAGGGTTGAAGAGCAAGGATGACAGGAGGCTGAAGGAACAGCAACAAAGCCTCAGATTTACAACAGAAGAGGAAGCAAATAAAAAGGCCAAGAGGCAAGGAGAAGCTACAGTAGCAAAAATACTACTGATCAACTCCCACCCATGATATTTTAACTGAATTCAGCGGTTTTGAAATTATCTTCTTGACATCTTCTGCCTGCTTTTGTGCAGGCAGGCAAGCTTCTAAGAGTTTCCTAAACCACAACAAACACATGATAAAGCATTATGAACCCTTTTTCACTGAATCAGGTTTTTACAAAAATATTGGCTGTCCCCTGAGGGAAAAGCAAATGACGAAACAGCTGACGAAAAGACAACTCATTTTCTCTGTTCATTTCCCTCCCTGCTTCTGATCTACTTTAAAAGTAGGTGAACTGGAACCAGAAGACCAAAGGGTCATCTCAGCACACGGAAGTCTTCTTTTCCAAAGAGTTGTTGGGAATTAATAAAGAGAAATCAATACTGCAAGATGTTCATTGTGAAAATTTTGGCTCTCCCTGGGGAAGGAATCCCCATGTCCTGGATTGTGCTATAGGAAATCACACCAGGGTTATGCAATCTGCTGGAAGCATGGAGTCAACTGAACACTAGAGATTGTTTGCTCGAAAGCAAAAAAGGGTAATCACAGTTCTTAGGAGAGCTATTATTTAAAACGGGCCTCGGAAGTTTATTTCCACTGTCCAATTCTTCACAGCAGGTTGGTTCACTCACCACTTCTCACCACTACAAGTGACTTAAAGGATAAGAATTATCAAACATTTGATGGCAATCACCTACAAAAAGAACTGTTCATATAAATTACATTCAGATCCCTTTGTTCTGCCTTGTATTTTCAGCACTCGGGATACATGCTCTTTCCAGTAAAAGACTAGCCTAGCATTTACTTTACTACAACTTCTGATTCTATAGACCAGGGCAGGAGGCCATAATGAAACCTAGGAAGGGATTTCTAGTACATATTCTAGAACATACAGGAGTTTGAGAGGCAAAGAGTGTACTACCTAAATCAGAGAATACTATTATTTACCATTTCATTCCTTCAGGGAGAGGGCACCAGTTTTGAAGTCTGAAGCAAAGAAAATCAACTGTCTGCAAATGTGAATGTTTATTCATAATTTTCCTTTCTACCCATTAACCTGAAAATGGGAAATATATTGAATGAGAAAATAATCCATTAGTTCAAGGTCAAGACACAGCCCTAAATTTTTTTCCTTAAAAAAAAAAAAAGAGCAAAAAAACCAGAGCACTTTGTGCTGCATCTGTCCTTGCCCAATGATGTGCATTTTAATTTATAGCTATTCAGACTTGTTCCTTCAGAATGTGACACATCCTACGCTAAGCTTGTTTCTGTCAATCATTTTTTGTATGGCATGAGGAATAATATCTTAATTTCATGCTTCATTACCCTCATAATGAACAAGCCCAAGGAACTCCCTAAAAACAATGCTGTATTAGCAAAGTTAGTGAGTCAAACACTAAGCAGGAATACCCACAGCTGATCAAATCAATGAAATTATTTTTGGAAGCAGCAACAAACTTATAATTTAGTACTGAACATCTGTCTCTGCTCGTGGCTGGAGTGAAGTCTTGGTGGCAGGAAAAGGGACTGCAGGAACACTGTGGTGCTCCTCACATCTTCCCTTAAGGCGCTCAGTATTGACTTTTAGCAGACAGAACTGCATAGTTAAGCAAGCCAGGGGCCCCAGTTAATGTTGCTGTTTTCGTTTTGCCTGCAAAGTGCCCTGAATGGAGACACCATCACATGAAGCATCAGGAGAGTAACACCCTGGGCACCAGTGCAGGCACTTTAGACAACAGGATGTCAAATTTTCAGAAAAGTAACAAAATATATGTCCTGTTCTGTAGACAAATTCATTGTGAGACTGTTACCTCAGATCGGCATTTCAGAGAGAAAACTGCATCTCCAGACAGACTGAGCCCATGATGAACTTAAGTTTCTTGCTATGTAACACTAAGGAAAGCCAAACTGACCTGATACACACAGCTCAAAGTGCTGATCTTAGTGATATTCTCTTTTTCCAAGTATAGGCTATAGTTTGTTATAATTTTTTTTTCATAGAACGTCAAACTGTACACTTACTCACTGGTGTAAATAACACACACTGGAAAGAAAAACAAGAGAGAGGAAGAGGCTCAGCTTGGAACAAGAACCATCAATTTTCATTTCAAATGTAGCTGAACAGAAGACTTGAGAGGGAACAGATTAATGATTACAACTGCTAAACCAGGACTTCACTATAAAGTTATCATCATGTCCAGATGTTGTCTTTGCCTTTGACAGTTTTTTGAGGTTTTCTTACAAAAATACAGACATGCATCTAGTCTAAGGGCATCTACATGCATTTAAAATGCCTGTAATACCATTTAGAAACTGGCCTTTATTCATTCTGCACTCCCACTCACCTGCAAAATAATGAATATGGTGATGGGGTTAAAAAAGTTTGTTTAAACAAACAATATACAGTTTACTACTAGTACATAATTAGTACTGTGATGCATTCAGTGGTTATCCCAGCAACGCTCTGCAGTAGTTTTCATGCCTACAAGTTATAATACTGCCCCAGATGATGAGTTTAAATCCATGCAAAATTTGGGCATATTAGATGTGTATTACTGACACTTTTTCATGTATACCGTATCTTCTAAAAGTTCATTGCTGTTGGAAACTTTTAAAAATAAAAGTCTCTTAAAAATGGACTTTTTCCCTTGAAAGTATTACATATATCTGATTACTGTGCTGCCAAGCTGAAATGCTCCCTCAATCTTCTATTCCAAAACAGACGGCAAATAACGAGCACCTTGGAATATTCTCCACTTATAGTATTTAGCTTGCGGTTAAGGACTTTCCAGCTTTCTGGGTTAGCACCACATTTCTAGAAAACTGCTGCAGATCAAGGAGGACCAGCACAGATGACATAATTCAGTCTCAAACCAACCTTCCCATACTTAACAGCTCCATGTGTCAGCGTGTGTCCTAAGCTGAAACATCTCAGATTGAATTTGGCTACAGCTGAAGAGCAAAGGGATGTGTTTAGGCACAGAAGAGCCTAAAGTGGTCAGAGGCTCCAAAGATAGTGGAAGCACTATGGCTGCTGAGACAATGAATGAAAAAAGGGATGGTCTTATCCTTTTTTCCCCCCAGTTCCGCACAATTGAGACTTTTATATTTTTTCTGTGCAGTGTGTCACCACTCAACTGGGAGAGGAGACAAAGCGGCAAGATTTTTCTTAATGTTTCTGAAAGTTTACCAGTGTTGCACTACTCCAAAATAAACTTCTACCCTGAAAAAATAATCCAATTCTTAAGCAGTTAAATTCACAATCCCTATTAATGAAAGTTAGTCTGTGACATATATAATTACTGATTAATTATTCCTTATTTTAACAAGTGTCTGTAGGCCAGAGGCTTTCTTTTTCACTCCACATAAAAGTGTATCTGCAGTGGTGTAAAAGACAATTTATTTTAGGTTTTTTTTCCAAACTAAAACTATTTTACATGAAAAGTTTCTTCAGAATATTAAACAACGGAAGCTACACCTTCTTAAATGTCTTTTGGTAATCTTTCTTATTTCTTTAGAAAAATAATTAACTACTATGTCTCAATTCAACTCTTTAAGCTACTTCTCTACATAGGGTCATGTCAGTTCGAAAGTATCAAACATGTAATACTCATTAATTTCAGCCTTCCTTAAATTTGCTTCTTACAACAGTGGCTATGGGATATTCAGTTCTCCTGTACTCAGAGCGCCACTGTGGGTTAACTTTAATGTCAAAACCCAATTTCCAAAACTCTCCCCTTGGGCTAGCAGCTTGATAGACCTTCAGCAAAGCTGGTTGTGCAGAAACATAGATTGCAGAGACTTTGGAAGAATTTTCATTGTCTTGTTTAGAACAAGATATAGGAATGAAATAAAACCACAAATTTGGTTTACAAAGTATAGCTTTTATTATACACACTGCTTAAATGAGTTTTCAAATATAGATTTTAAAAATCATGAGTTTTTCAATATATACATTCTGAAACAACATTATCGCATTTACATTTTAAATACTTATTGCTAATATGTTAATATTTTTTGTGTTTTACCAAGTGTTAACTATTAAGTACATTTTAAAGTGTTCAATAGCAATTAACCCATCATTGAAATACCATCTCTAGACATCCTCTAGTGCATATATGCTTTTGTAGGATTCAGGCATTACTCTGATTTACAGGTTATGGAGGGCATAAATATGTCTGCTAGGAACCATGCTTAAGTTACAGGACGAAAAAAAAGTGGGTAACCTACTGAAGTGGCACAAATAACTAAGAGAGAAGGTATTGACTCAGTCATAAAGGCTAACAAACTTACATACTTGGAGCTTCAGTTTTAGTCTTCTCTTGGTCACAGCAAGAATGTGAAATATCAGAAAGTTAATGACTGCCTGGCACACAGCATTCTGGTATAATTACAACAATCTGGGGAATTCAAACAGATTGTGAAGGATTTCATGTGGAACAAATTGTATTAAATAAGATTCTTTAATGATATATCATTTTTGAGTCATGGAGTACATCAAGTAATCTTGAGGAGAATCTTCAGGGCACATCAGACATTTCTTTATGTTGTTCCTCAATACATGCCTCAAGATGTGCCAAGTTAGTTTTATCCTTACACAAACTGAATTTTAGCTTCTTTGTTGGAATTATCAGCAAAAACACCAACTTGGAGGTGTTTTCTCATTCTAAACAAACTGCTCAGCCACAGCTTCTTTTGAGTAAGGCCAAAGAAACCAGAAAATGGTTTCAACTGATGCACATACCAATGAACAAGTAGTGAGATTCTATTAATGATCTCCCAGTCTCTTGCTTTCTTTCCCAGTGTCATTCTCAAATCAACCTTGCCACTTCTGTACCTTTGTACAACACTGCAACCTGAATTCAATAAATCAACCCTTCAGGAGTAGGACTTCCTTTAACTGCTTCATACAGACTCTAATGTGGCATTGAATAGCAGTGCATGTTTTGAAAATAGATTCAAAATGGTTTTTAATATATTTTTCACTTGTATTTTAGTTTTCCTCAAATCTGAGTATCACTGATTTGCAATCAATGTAAGAGAGCCGATTTATATGCAATTCTTGTTGCATCACTGCAGATAGAGGATATTGAGAAAGAAGTACAGTCCATCAATTAAACACTTTCATTTTCCACCGTCAGTTTACCTTTAAGTTATGGGGCAGAAAGAAGGCAACATAGGTTAATTGTGTTACACAGAAAATCTAATAATGACCAGTATGCAGTTTTAGAGACATGGAGATTTAGAGGTGTGGAATTCTAGAGCTCTACAAAGTAATTTCAGCAGAATCAGAAACGAATCTGACATGATGCAGCATAGAAGCTGCAAGGATCTCACGATTCATTTTCATGGGGGAAGGGTTCAGGTTGAAAGACGCTGCCTGTTCAAGCTTTACAGAAGAGAACACAGAGGATCTTAGTTCTTAAAAATGCCATCAGATAATCCATGTCACCCATGTGATCCACACAAAACCATTGTCCGCCAAAGCTCCAAACACATGAGCACTTAACAAAGCTTTCCAAAGGTTGGAATCAATCTCTTCAGTCACTGAATGAAGATTCATTATCAGAACTGTCTTCTGCTTTGCCATCATCTCCCCAGGCAGGCACAGGGGCATCTGGGGTCCTGCAGGCAACAAAAACATTCCGTGCTGCAAATCCAGCCGAGAACACAAGCAACTCAGCACGTAACACCAACGTCCTTGCACCACAACATTTAACACATTAACTGTTTATGGTTCACAAACTCACACCTCAGTGGTATTGCTTCACCTACAACTGGAAGGCAAACACTAGAAACTGTAACTCACTGAACTTCAAAACTCTGTAGACACCAGTGTGAATGCATGCCTTTGATGCCATCAGAAATGATGACAGGTCATTAAGAAACACTTGTAGAAAGAGTTGAAAGCAGGCAATAATGATTAATTCAATTTTTTTTCAATCTTCAGAGGTTCTAGGGCTGAAAGGAACATTCTGTACACCATTAAGCAGTGTAAATAGTACATGAAAAAAATAAGACAGGAAATGAACAATATTGTATCCAACTAAAACTGCAGGGATAATTTAGTGAAGCAAAAAAGAATTACTCAGAGTGGAATTTGGCTAGAACATTGGGTTAAATGTGACATGCAAGAACAGCCATGGGATTTTTATTGACTACAAATGATCAGTCCTCTTGTATTTAGCTTTAAAGAGAATATTTAGGATGGATCTTAACACTGTGGCAAAATATTTGCTTGGGGAATCTACTGGAAATGAAGGTGAGACAAGCAAGCCATCTAAAGACTAACTAATATTACTGCCTGAAGATGCTGGCTCTCCATTGACTCTTCCTCCTAAGTATATAATGAATTTGACATACAAGCAATACAGAGCCTGATAAAGGCTTAAAGCAAGGTAGAAAATACACGTATAATTTTACTTGGGGAAAAATGACATTCAGAGAAACTTACTTCCTGCATGACAGTTAACATCTCTTGGATAAAATATTGCATTTTAAACTAAGCTGACAGTTGTATTAATCATCCTGTTCTTATTTATCTTGGGGGTATAGAATTTCTTTTCCAACATTAGTTCTGTTTAGTATAATTTCTCTGCTGGGAATCCCTAAGGCAACTTCAAAGTGCTCCTAAACATTTTCAGCGCAGAGATGAGAAGTGTGTTGAACTGCAGAAGAGCCTTCTCCCTCCCCCCTGCACACCTCTAAAATAAATGAAGAAAGCATTTGCTTTCTCATGCAAATATCACTTCACAATATTATTCCTTGTTGCCACAGTAATGACAAAACAGAAGAGCTGTGCAAAGACATGTGATCTGGAGAGACCAGTGCAAAACCTCTCTTTTATTAAGAAGAGGAAGACGGTGCTGAATTCCTTTAGTTCATGAGAGCAGGACAAGCTCTTCCGGAACTGAAGACAGGAAAGAGAGGAAGGATAAGTAATGAAAGATAAATTGGGAGCTTGATAGAACAGGCAGTTACCAAAAGCTGTAAAAAGTTGATAAAGGAGCGATACAGAGGTGGAAAAGTCAAGAGGAGAATGTAGAAACTATATTGTATCATCAGAATTAGCACATCTACAGCCACAAATAACCCATGCTCAGCCAATGGCAAGGGGCTGGTGGAGTCTGCAGTAAGTGACTGAGCACACAGCCAGTGCATTTTCCTAATTTTCTCTGGGACTGAGCGATTGGACCTAAGGAAGTAGAAGACCCAAGAAATGTGGTGTGAATGGCAAGGTACATTTAAAAGAAGAAGCCTATAATATCAAGAAAAGACAGCAAGAAAAATGAAAGGTCACCCCTGATATCTTAACATGTTCCACATTATGCACTTTGCCAAATAATTAGCTTTCTTTAACCAGTTTTCAAACCAATAACATTTTAAAGAAAATCTGACTAAGCATTACTGTTGCACAGATCTTTGAAGATGGATTTTGAGATCTAACCCCAAACACATTGTGATCCTCAATCCACAATAATGTTTCTGTCTTAATTCAAAATAGACAATCCAAAAGCAAACACTTTTTTAAAAATAGCTTTTGAAGTTTTAACCTGTTACATTTTGTTTTATCTACTATAAAAATCTACCCAAACATGAAGAGATGTAAGCATTTATAGAAAGTTGTGGATTTGAAAGCACAGCAAAAAATACAATACATTTAACACAGATATAGAAAACCCATGTTGGCTAAACCTATCTCCAACTTGCACAGGGTCTTTTTTTATTTCTCATTCAATCAGTAAAAATAAAACCAACTGAGGTATAACTACTTCAGGCTTATCTAGACCTAGAAGTAGATGGGAGCTAAAGTGACTCATCAGGTTTATTTTATTTAACAAGTAGCTAGTTTCAGATTAAGCCTTTACAAAATGTAAAAAGACTTCACTGGAAAGGAAAAATGGGCTTTTTAATACTGCGACAGTTTCTGAAAAGAATGCAACAATACTTCACACATTTTGGTATCTATAATGTAAGAATGAAAGTTAATACTTTCATCAGTTTAACAAATTCTGTGAAATAATACAGTAGAACCAAATTAAATGCCAGCTGTAAATTAAGACTAAAATTAATGTTTATGGCCAGACAAGAAGCTTTGAAAATTACTATCTATTCTTAGTAGTCTTCACATCAGATTAACTCAATCAACAGCCAAAATTTTAAAATGCTGACTTCAATTTACACTGTCAATTTTGAAGTCAAGTAATACACTACATGTACTCAGGGAATCTGGAAACAACTGTGTTGTCCCTCATGCATGCAGCAAAATAAGACTGAGTTTGCTCTCACTTCTCTACAACAATGACATTTTCTTATTGGAGTGTTGAAAGCAAGTATCTGGGAAAAACCTCACAGTCTAAACAGGGCAGTTAAAATGGCTACTGACCTTTTATTTGAGTCCTCATTGCTAAGTGCACATTGTCAAAAATGCTAGCTTGTCACTGCTATAGCTCACAACACCTTGAACAACCTTTTCTAAGCACATGTTTTTCCAAGTTTTTTAAACACACAGCTGCACTGCAGCCCTACTGGGAGTCACAAATTACTTACTCGAGAAGATCTGGATTTAGCCCCTCAGAAATCATTTTGTTTCGTATTGCCATTACAGGAACACCCTGTGTAGCAGGAAGAAGAATAATATAAAACTACTGGACACAAACAGATGAGTTAAATAAACCACACTTTCATATAAATTTATGCATGTCACTTGTCAGACAACAGCATGGAACAATAATCTCAGTTACCATCAATATGAACCTAGAAGCAAGAAACGATTGAGATTAAAGGCCCTTTTAATCCATCTTATATTTATGACAAAACATCTAGAGAAATTTGCAGGGAGAGAATTAAGACTGGATAGATATAATTGCAATTCATACAGACAAAATCATGAAGCTGAAGTTATCTGTATGGGTAAGAATGTGGAGAAAGCACAAGGTATCTGCACAAAGACAGCAGTGAAGTTGTGCTAGGAAAGACTTGGGTATGCTGAAGGTATACCCAAGAGAGAGAGGAAAACCAGGGAAGTGCATCTGCTACCCCTCCAGAAGAATCTCTTAAGGCAGTGCTAAAAACTGGAGAAGTCTAAAAAGCATGGAAAAAAAGGCAAACAGGACATGAGAACAGAAGCACAGTTTAAAAGTGACTTCTCTGAATACAACTGCTTGTGCTGTCAGGCTTGAATCTTCTATGACTTGTGGACAGATTTCAGATAAGTATGTACATGTTAAAAAAATTCCTTCCCTTCACTGCAAGTCCTTCCACACCTTTGCACTTTATTTTATTCATCAGCACCTAAACATCCTCTTATCTTGGATCACATATCCAAGACGCACGTCCTCTCATGAGGACATTCCAACAAACTGCTGCTACGTTTCCACTAGAGTTGCTCAAAGGCAACTTGTTGCTTTGCCATCTCTTGTTGGAAACCATCAGAAATACCATTTGGATCACTCCATGCCAATATAAAATATCAGAAAAAAAACCCCATCACTGAATGAGGATACAAGTTCTGATTCAAAAGGGACAGTTACTGGTGGTCTAAGAAATTCTAAATGAAAAATGGTGCAAGACTAGTATATTTTTTGCAAAAGCAGGTAAAATAGTGTTGAAATAAAGGGCAGCTATGACTAATGATCCAGAGGAAGATGTGATTCTAGTGACAGTTCCACAGTAAGAATCACAAGCAAGGCTTGTGCATGAGCACTGTGGAACAGCACACAGGTACATAGTTCTAGCAATCTATCAGGCATAATGTCAAAAAACAGTCACTCAAATAGCTGCAATGTAATAGCTTGAAATAAAAGAACATCTCAGTACTTCATAACTAATATTTTTTGTTTGTGCATTACAAACCTGAATATTTTTAATATTTATTCGAGTATTTCATGACGGTTTAAAAATTCAGTTGTTCTAGTATAGATTTGGACACCAGGGATTGTGTGTCTACACACTGTCTTGTACTAATGCTTTGCCACTGCTTGACTGCTCTTAGGGTACTTTTCCCCACCTCAGAAGTCACTGATGAGTTGTTTACACATCAACTCAAACCAGGTGAAAACAATTGAGTCAGATCAGGCAAAGAAGAATTCGTATTTGATTTCAATCAAAGGGAATTTGGTAAAGGACTTCTAAGAATAGGTTGCTTTTATGTTCACACTTGGAGTATGTTTTATTCCAACACTGTGTGCATTAAAATCTATGAGAAAAAATCCTCTCAGTACCCTCATATATCACAGATTCACAAAACTAATCTGAAATTTAGTCAAAATGCCCTTTTAGATTTCTTATCTGAAGCAAAACAATTAAGATTGTACTTATATCTTTTTACAATACAATTAGGGCATTACAATTACTTTACTTCCCATGATTTCCTAAATTTTAACCTACATATATGGTACTGCTTTTCTATGATTTCTTGGAATATTGTTGTAAATTTTAAAAAGTAAGAATTTAGTATCCTCAATTGCACTCCACCAAAATTAGTTTGTCACAATTTCATAGAAGAGCTACTTTTAGTGTAGAATGGTGCTCTTTTATACTACAAACATTTTGAGTAATAAATAAATTATCAGTTCAAACAAATCTTCAGCTAGAAACTTAATTTGGGAAAATAAATGACACTAACTGAAATACTTGACCGGACAAGGAGACAAGTTTGGCAAATACAAAAACACACATTAATTTGTAGTATGTTAGTTTGACTTTCCTACCACACTGTTTACAACTGGCAGAGGAGTCACCAGGAACTGCCAGTACACAGGAGAAATGTGGAAAGTGAGATCTCACTCCTCTAGCAGTTACCAAAAAAAAAAAAAAAAAAAAATCAAAGTAATTAGACCATCCAGTGCTTTCAAATCCACTTTGAAATCTGGCATTAAATTGATACAGTAACATAGTGTTCTATTCTCTGCTACTATCCCACTGCTAGGTTTTCCAAATGGTTTGTAATAAGCTATCCATAAAGTGCCAATTTGTGATTCAAGTGAAAAATAAGGTTTGGAATATCGTTCAAGGGATGAAACAGACCAATTGTAATAACTTCTCTGAAGACTGAGTGAAACCATGAAGTTAGTTTTAACATAAGCAACATTTTATTAATACTATGACATAGTCATACTTTCCTGAATTATAATATATATTTTAGTGGAAAATTTCCACTGACAAATTGAAAATAAATTGAAATAAACTCTTTGTTTCCAATCTCATTTTTAAGTTTGTGGAGGTGAAATGACCTCTTAAAAATATCACAAATAGCCTCCTTCACATTCTTGTTCCTTCATTAGATTTCAAACATGTTAATACTGAGATTATTTCTAATTTATCTATAGCACAGACCACAGATAAAGGCATAAACAAAACCTGCATCATGAATAACAGGAAACTGGAGTGGAAGTAGACAGTGAAGCAATCCTTGTATCTCTATTTTGGTCCTTACAGAAATATAAAGTACTTCTGTTCTGGACTATACTTGCAAAGCTGTACTTTGTACCCTACAGTAAAATCAGACGGTAATCAGTCTGTATGCAGGGAATGACTCCAATTTGCCAGGACAACTCCACTCTCAGTGTAATCTTCTGTGCCTCCGGCTAATATCACTTTGCATTTACACATTTCACACCTTCAGTTCACAAGCCTACCAGCAGAATTATGTAGAAAGATCTTGCCAGAAGCTGTCTGATGGAATATATTACATTAATTCATTTATTAGAGAAGATATGCTAGAATATTGTGATGTTATCCTACCTTAAAGATTACTGTTGCAATACATGTTTTCAGACATTTAAGGTTCACTTACAGCTGTGTAGTGCATTCCACCAAAAAATAACATCCTAGCCAAAGAATGACATGAGAATTGACTTACCACTTGTACCATTTTGAGATATCTGGCATATCTTGGGTCCTTGGCCACAGTTGTGACATTTTCTGTTACCACCTCTGTTTTCTGTAAGCCTTCTTCTTGTGTATTGTTCTGCTGTATGTGAAGAACAAACCCTTTCATGGTTAGGTGTACACACCACATCCATGGAGAGATTCCAATCCATAAAGGTGGGTATTTTAGGTAAAGTGCAACTCTTCTTCATCAAGATTATTCTAATCTACACTCACAAAATTAGAGGTTTCCTAGATGTATGAAATCACAAAATCCAGCTCTTTTGTTGTTCACTGTTACAAGAGTGTCTTTCTACTTTTAGATACAATTTTAAGTTATTGAACATAAAATACCAGAAAGTCCCTCATAACCCTGATAAGTTGTATTTAATGAATAAAACAGTACTAAAGGTAAATGGTCTTTTTATAAAAAATATTTATAAGGAGTATTATTTATAAATCTCCTCCAGTAGTAAACTGCCTTTTTTCCTCAAAATACTTGATTCCCTGGCAAAGTTTTCATACAGATCATGTAACATTTGAACTATACTTTTGAGTATAAATCATTACTTAAAGGATAATGTAATGAAATCAAAGATTCCTTGAAAGTATTTAATTTAAAAGAAATTAAAAATGACAAGAAGTTCGAGCACTATTAAAAGAACACAGAAAGTGTATTTTTTCTACAAAACTAATCACTTGAAAGCAGCACTGGGAAGATCCTTTCAGAAATATAAAAACTTTATATACTTATATATACCTTATATACTTTAATATCTGACAGGATGAACATTTTAAAGAAAATTAACTCATGGTGAGTCGTTCTCTAATGTGGCTGGAACATGCAATGCTGTTCAGTGTCTCCTATGCTGCTGCCTGTAAATCAGAGTTACAATCTTTGACAGGCAGACAAAAGCAGCAGAGTGCTCCAGCTACTGCTTCTCCACAGCAACTTCCATCAAATAAGATAATGAGCAGAGATTAGAATTGAGGATTCCATGAGAAGATACTCTAAGAGGAAACCAGGAAAAGAACTCCATCTACAAATGGGCCAGAAATCCTCACTTAACTAAGTGGTGATCATGGGATTTAAATGTCTGGGTTAAAAAAATCAACCATCCACACACAATAAACTCCCCAGAATGACAAAAAGTTAGTTGCAGGGATAGTATCTTAATGCCAATTGCTTGTAATAAGCTGGCATTTTCTGTACATGGTAGATAATATACAGGAAACTTTCAATGTAATAAACTCTTTAGAATAAAGTATGATAGAAATTCCAATATGAGCTAAAAGCATACATTCTGAAGAAAGGAGAAAAGAGCTGCAATGATGTGATTTGAACTGTTATTTTCATACATGACCTTCCCAGACCTCTGATATAACACATGTTCATATTATAGTGTGATTGAAGAAGAGGAAGGAGAAATTTAGCATTAGATTTGAGTTAGTTATTATTTAAGTCACATAGTTAAGAAAGGGTATAGCCTTTTATGTTTTAAGTCACTTGTTAACAGTGCCAGGGGAGAAAAGCCTAATCTTAGACTTTCACAGTTGATTGCTCACTTCCAGTAGACTTGCTTCTTCTGTCTCCTTCAAATGACATTAAAAACTTGACCTGGAGAGCTCTATTCCTTCAAAGTATGATCTGTGCTTCATTACTTACTCCAGACTGAGGTGATGCAGCTGTCTGTTGATCTGTAGCAGTCTGTGCCACAGGACCATTTGTAACATTCACATTTTCACTGGACACTTCAAATTTGACATCTTCTAGGCCAGGAATTGAGGATAACTAAATGCCAAAAACATCATCAAATAAGCAATGAGCCTTTCAAAAGACTACATGTACAACAAAATCTGCATCATGCTGCTTACCACTTACTGACCAGATAGGTTTTACATTAGTAAAATTTTAACTTTTTGCCCCTAGTTTTGGTATTTTGATTGGGGGGAAAAAAACAAACCTGTCTATTCAGCTGCCTTCTACAACAAAAACTTTCATTGTTAACACAGGGCTGCAGAGTAGGAAAGGCTTCTACACATTCCCAGCATATTGCTACTGCACTTATCAAGCACATGAGAGCCATGCAGTCTCTGCTACTTCCCCTACAGTGAAAGAAATCATGGCAAGAACAGCTCTATCACCTAACAGATGGGAGACTGGTTACAAATTTTTCAATTTTCTACATCTTTCACTTTTTTTAAGGAAATGCTGTGAGTGGATATTAAACACACCACAAATCTATCTGAAGGAATTTCTATTTAACATGATTATGAAGAATTGTGCAAAAATCATCAATTCGGATCATTCCTAAATATTTTGAAATAAATAAGAGTTAGTAAGCTCTGTTTGTATTATTACACTATTTTTTCTCCACGAAGATCTTAATGAACACTTTCAAAATATCCCACCCTTCTTCCCAGAAAAGCCAACAAAATTGCCTCCATCATTATTCAAAGAAGAACTTGTTAAAATTTTATACTGGTGATTTATTGACTTTGGAATTTTATTCGTTTCTGTTCTAGTAAACAGCATACTGTGTTTCCTATAGAGGATCACAGATTATTTCCTTTTGTCATTTCAGTTAAAGAAAATATATCAAACACATTTACATTAGCTTAGATCCAGTTCAGGTCACATTTCAATATCAGAAGATTTATAAGGCTTCTATCTAGTTACTTATATCACCTGAAGTCCTTACAGTCCAGTAGCATACAAAGATACTTATGTTTTACAAAGGGGGTAAGAATTTCCTTGTTAGAGTTTGTATGGCAAAAAGTGCTCCTTTCCTGCTCCACATGCTTAGCAAACTCAAATTTTCCACTAGGTACTGTTGATTCCTTACTTCTGTATCAACTACATATTCAAATGTTACCCAGTATAAGTAGGAAGGCATGCAAAACCAGAATTTTTGATATCAGGATTTTATATTAGCTCCTTTAAATCCTTATGAAAACTTATTTGCTCGATTCAGGCCATAAAAAGGAAGGTAGTTCACATAATCCAGGAGGTTGTCACTTTTAGAAGATGAAGTCTATATCCATACAAACCTTTGCATCCAGAATATTGAGTGTGGTTTCAATTTGTTGGATACGGAGAGAGAGTGCTGACAATTTCTACAACAGAAAAGAATTAGGATGTGAAAACACTCCCCTATGCACTTGGACATATAAAACAGTTTGCATCTAGTTAAAAAAAAATCACTTTTGTCTTCTCCCTGCTGATGGCAGAGTACAGTGTAAATGAGATTATCACATTATGAAATAAATGAAGCAATTTCCTTTTTAGTACAGTATCCATGTCCTTTTTAGTACAGTAGCTACAGCAGTACAAATTTTAAATAATTTTACTCTGCAGTTGGTTTTCCAATACAATGACAGAAACGAAAGCAGACTATGTACAAAAGAAAGCCAAAGTAAATAAGGTATTACACTGGGTAACTGTAGAATAAAGATAGACATATTGTACTCTTCCAGTTAGCAAAAGATCATTCTTCAAAGCTCTTTCCAAATGTTGAAGATGAAAAGAAATTATGTGTGTGTACGTAACTGAGCAAATATAAAGAGAAAACCTGCTAATTAATACAGCAGGTGATTCAAAGTCCTATAAAGTCAAAATCCACAAGGAATCAGAACTAACCAGACACTTTATATGCTCCAGGTGCACCTCAATCAAATTTTGACTTTTTTTTTTTTTTTAAATGCAACTTAAGTTTTTCTAAATTACTCCATAAGAACTGCCAGTCTTTTAACTAATCACTACCATACTCCACCAGACCTGTTCAAGTGAAGTTGGCTAGAGTGCTGGCTGGCAGATATGTACCATTCTGACAGCTTTCTGGCACCTTGGCAAGATTCTGCCTGGCTCTGAAGCAGAACTTTAACACCCTAAGAAAATGGCAGCTCTGCCAACATGCTAGAAAAAGTAGAAGGAGACTGACAGGAGTTAGTCTTTTTGGATAGTGCACTGACTTGTTTACAGATGGTCCTTTGTTCATGAAGAGGAGTCAGTTCCTATTGGGAGGAACTATGTGTCCCACATTTAACTGGATAAGGGGGAGGAAAGATGTACAAAAGACAATTATGCAATTTTATGGGTCTATTTCACTAGAGAAGTGCCAAGAAATTTAGAGTTAAGGATGGAGTCAGCCCTGATTTTGAGTTCCTTGGCTTCTGTTGACTTTTCACATTGAAAACACTTCTGTATTTTATGAATACGAAAAACTTCTCAGGGAGTATATAAAGCAACTATTTAGTCTCTTGGGTAACAACACATTTTGGTTAACTAATAACTGTTTTATTAGGCAGACTTCACAGTGCTGCTGCGTGCTCAAGGTGGCTTTAAATATACGTGTTCTGATTTCCACAGTGCCTGTGGACGAGGGAATACTGAGATCAGGTGACGACTGAGTTCTGTACAACTGACAACAGCATCATCAGGCTGTTAAACTGTCCCACCTAGCAAGTTACAACAAGTTTAAAAACCTAGGAAAAATGACTTTTTTTTCTTCTGAAGCTCCGTATATTCAAATTTTATACTTGTCACAGGCCTGACTCTAAACTTCACCAACAAATAACAGAATTTCTCAGATTACATGGTTTAGTCTAATTGGAGTTGACTGTTGCCCTAGCTCAGCTGGCTAGAGCTGTATAGCATTCTTTGTTGAATAAACTAATGAAAAAGTACAAAATACCTCTGAAGACAAAAAGGTTATACTCAAAGCCACATTAGAAAATACCCTTTCTACAAGGAGGACTCTTGTCCTGTTCAGTGGACAATTCTAATCTTGTCGGTCTGGTGTATTTCCATTGACTCTAAAGTCATCACATAAACTTAGTAACCTAAATATTTTTATTTTTCTCTCTTTACAAGAAACTGAAGTTAAGGGCTTCATGTTCTATACTAATCACTTGCCAGAAATGTCCTTTTTTTCAACAAAAAAACAACGTACATTCAGCGCTTAGCGTATCACTCTTTTAAATTAAAAGTGATAAAATCTGAAAGTACATTTTGATGCACCACAAGAACACAGCATCCTTCTTTCATAACAAACAAGAGCCAGAGATGAAGCTGCTCAGAATAAATTCCCTGTATCAAAAAGTCCAAAGACTGTGCCAAATGCCAAAGCTTAAGGAAACAGGACTGAGTGCAGCACAATCAGGAGTTCATGTGGCTCCCTTGGGGAAAAATTCTGTCTTAAGCACTTGAGGCTCAAGGGAAGCCTTGAATGGAAAGCAGACTACATTTTTTGGTTTAAGCTACCAGTATTACTGCATCAAAACTATTTAAATGAATGGTTCTCATTTCTTGAATTTTTTTAATTGTATAAAGGGACAGCTGGGAAAATAATAAACATACCTCTTCACAAACAGTAGAAAAGCGGTTGAGAAACTGCACTGTGTGAACCACAAACTGGTTTAGAAATGCTACAGTTCTTTTCTGCTGAATAGCAGGAACCTGCATTAAAAATGTAAGAAACTTAGGTTACACATCAATATCAATTTTCACATTTGGATTGAAATATCTGTTAAAAAATGCACATTTTTTTAGAAGAAATTATTTGGAAATCTGTCTTAAGTGTGCTTGCTATGAATGCATACATACACAAACCATTTTCTAATACACATATGCATTCATACAAATCCTTTGCCATTAAAAATCTACTAACATGAGAGCTGAGAATTTACAAGAAGTTACATAGAAAAGACAACAAGACCCACAAAATGAAGGATTGTTATCTTAAAAAAAACACCTTTAGATGAAATTGTAAATATTCTTAAAAATCAGTGTTAATGTTTTTTAGAAACACTGAGGAAATTAGATCTGGAGTTTAAGAATGAAAAGCAAACTTGGACAGCCATACTAATACTCAGTTACAACACCACGGCCAAAACTAAAGTTTAGTGATGCTGCTGTCTAAGTATTTAGTGGCTAACCTACTGGTTCGCATTTAGGGTACCCAAAATTACCTCCAAATCAGTTTCAATGCTTACATACTTTTCAGCCTAAAATGCAGAATCTCATGTTTGCCAAAAATAATGGTGGTCACATATGTAACACAGAGTTGGCATTTTTATTTAAACCATTACAGAAAACTGGAATCAGGAACTTTCACACAGAAGTTTATGTATAAAATTTTAGTACCTCAGGCTTAATAACCTTGGACAATTGTTTTAAGTCTTAACCTTCGCAGATGAAATTAACCTATGAAGTTGCCATTGATTTAAGTGAACGATTTACGAGTAATATTATTGGCAGTCAAGATTCTGCTGCACTTTTATTGTGAATACAGTGACACTCTGGTCTTCACCTCTTCTTTAGTGGCTAATTTACCAGTCGTCCAATATACAATTCACTATGGCCATCTTAAAACATCCTGACTTTTTTGTGAGACTTTTGTTGCTACTATCTCAAGCCTTCAGCCTTCGCACCTGATGAAGTTCAGTCCTGTGGTTCCAAAATTCACCAAGCAGTGCTTATGATCTTAGCAGAAATCTGTGGGGTGGCACAGAGCATGGAAAAAGCACTGGGTCAATTGGAATTGTCCTGCCTTTATGCTTTGTATTGAGAAAACTAAGTTTAAAAAGAAAGTTTCTGCAACATTAAAAGAAATGAATAAACAGCTTCGCACGGCATTTGCCTCCCAGATGGGTGTCCGAAACGGCTTCGCCTTTAAATACAACGTTATCACAGCACTTGCAGCAAAAGGCCTCCGGAAACAGCTGGAGACACAAGTAAGAAGCAGAGCCCGCTCGTTCCCGGGTGCGAGGGCGGCACCGTCACCGCACGGGGCGCTCCCCTCGCCCGCTGCCGCTGGGCCGGGAGCCGGGGGGACGCGGGGCTCGCCCAGCACCAGGGCCAGCGCAGCCGCCGCCGGGGAGGAGCAGCGGCAGCCCCGGAGCGCCGGGCGAGCGCAGCCCGTACCTTGGTGAGGTCAATGCCGGAGCCCACGATGGGCAGCCCGTCCTCGTCCATGCCCGCGGGCCGGGGCGGGCGCGGCCCCGCTGCGCTGCTCGGCCGCGCTCCGCAGCCTCGGCCCGGAAACAAACCCCGAGCTCCGCGGGGCGGGGCGCGGCCGCTGCCCCGCGCTTCCTCCTGGGAAACGCAGTCCCAGGCCGCAGTCCTTGTGGCCGGCTGTGCCCCGGGAGAAACCCCGAGGATAAACCCCGAGCTTCTGGGGTGCCTTCTTGGGCACCCGCTGTGCGAGGCAGGTGGTGACAGCCGCTGAGGGGCCCGGCCGTGCCAGGGGTCGCACCCAGCGCTCCCCAGGCCTCAGGACGCCTGCCTGCTTAGTGGTGGTTGGGAACAGTGTCGTCCCCTGCGGCCAAACGCCAAGGAAATAATGAGAAAAGCCAGAGAAGGAAGTGTTCCTGTGCTCATACGCGTAATTTGAGTGGGGAAGTGCCACACTTTGGATGTGGGGACTAAAAATAAGGAGCACTGAATGGCCCTGGGTTCTTCTGAAAAAGACAAATTTGGGGTCATCTGGAGTCTCTGTTTACAGAAGCAAATCTAAATAGATTTTTGTGGATTTCCATATTTAGTGGAAGTTCTCCACAGTAACATCTAAATACCACTGCACTTAATAAACCCTCCTAAATTCAGTTAAGAAACCATCATACTCAGGCTGTCAGGTGGAAACTTCTCTTGTGATGAAATTAATAAAGGTGCACTAATTAATACTTTGAAGATTAGATTCCAAATGTAGTATGCTAATTTTGGTTTAAAATTTACCAAAATTCTCAGTTTACATCCAAATCATTACAGTTTGCCAAAGCATTCTAATAATCCATATACAGAATCAATAGTGGCTGTACACAGAGCACTTACTTACTCAAGTTGCCATAAAATTCTCCTTTATTTACTGAAGCAGCTTTTTTTAGCTTTATTACTTTCACAATGTATTTATTAACCTGCTGTTATATGGACATCATTATTACTCGCCTACTAAGACTGTGTAGCAAAGCTTTTTGTCTATACTAATTGAATTATTGAATAACTTGTGATTCATACTCTGCTTTGGACCACTGACATGTTGTTGGCTCAATTTCTTGCATCTCCCAAAGGAAGAGCAGCAGGCTAACCTACACAATTCAGTGGGTTTAGCTTTCAATTCCTAGCTTACAAGAGTTGTGCAAATTTGTGTTGGGTAATGGAGCCGTTTGTTAAACTTATTTACTTTGCCACCTTAATTACCTTAAAATTCCAACTAAATTCAAGAAGAACCAATTTAATTTATGATAAAGTGTCTATAGTACAATTTTTCTAGGCAGTGAAACTGGAAAATTAATGTAAATGCATGGTCAGATCTTATCTGAATGTCTTGGTCTGTAAAGCTGGATAAGAAATCTCCCAAGAATATGCTTTTTCATGAACTTTCTGGTACTTCCTGCTTTTAATTTGCTCAAAAATACTGCATAAAAAAGTGCAACACAGCACTTTTTCCTCCCAGCTGAAGTCAGGAAATGCAGGGTATGAAAAGTGAAAAAGAGAGAACGGAGGAAAATGATCCAAATTTTCCAAAACCTCTTAAAAATGTTTTAATTGAACTTGTTCAGCTGCAAATATAAATGACTGGACTCCCAAGGAGAGGATTTATAAAAAATAATTGAGTGATAACATTCAGATTTATAGAGTGAATGATTTGAAAATGTATTTTTTACCAGCACCCATGCTGGATGATAAATGTCAGACGGAGGAATAAGTACTGTACAGTATGTAATTGCTGGCAGTTGCCCTATGCATGTGTACATACACATGCTGGCATTTAAAGGCCCAGTTGTGTAGCTCCACCTTCCAGTGAAGGAAAAGATTAAAGTGTGTTTAAAAATTACCAAAATGAAGTTTGGTTGAGTGTTAGTATTTTGAAGATGTCAACTTTCCATATGCTAATGCTAACTTGGAGTGGAAAAGCCATGTGTACAGAAAACTAATCAGAGCTCTATCTTTACTAAAAAATACCTGACTTGTGATTAGGGCACACAGAAAAGTAACGGCAAGAACACGGGTTTCAAAACCTTGAAACTGATCTGCTCCATATATTGCACAGAATCAGAGCCTCGGGTCAACTTTGAAACAAAACTGCACAAGCTGAGAAAAACTGGCGAGTGCTACTGTAGCTTACAATGTTCATTCATATGCATCTTGTGTGCTTATACACTGTTACAGGTCCCAGGACACTACATTCGGGTTAGAATCAGCCCAGAACTCAAATAGCTATACAACTGAGAGACAAATTAAACAGAAACAAAGAGCTGGTCCAAAAAAATTTCCAGACGTGGTGTCACCTGATCCTCCACAAGGGGCAATAGTTGTTTTAAATAAGGTGGTCCAATGAACAGCTGAAAAAATCAGTGTGGATTAACATTTGCTTGATTTCCCATGGAGTCTTCTAAATCCATGCTTGCAAAGGGTATTCTAGTGAAGTTTTCCCTATGAAACTGATATTGCCTCAACGATTTTTCTCTACACTGAATTTAAGCAATGTCCCTCCCAATCTCAACAATCTCAGTGTGCCAGAATTTTTACAAATCTTGCAAATGGTTGAGAGAATTATCAACCCTTCACAGTTAAATAGACTGAGAATAAAAATGTTAGGCATTATGTAGGTTTCTTTAAAAAAAAAAAGAAAATGGAAACTAAATGATAAATGGTTTGCAGTTCTCTGAAAATGGTTTGTCAAGTTTCAGTTTTCCAAGTACTATGCTAAGACAACGTGAGAGGATTAACTAATTATTTTGTTCTGTACAAAAGAGCATGGAGAACATGCTAAAAACATTAGCTGCTCCTTTTTATTTATTTATTTATTTAAAAAAAAAAATCTATATTACTTCGTTCCAGTATAAAATAAAGAGCCTTGAACTTGGCAAGATCATTCCTGGGTAAACAGTTTTAAGTAGTCCTTAAAAACAGCGTATGAAAAGCAAACATCCTGGTTTCTGAATTAACTGCGGAACAAAAGAATTTCTGTCCTTTGCCCTCTTGGATCTTAGTAATTGTAAACCAAAAAAGTCTCACTCAAGAGTGCACCTGCACATAGCTGGTGCAAATCCTTTTCTGTATGGGTCCTGAGTATAGTGGATATATTCTGCAAAGGCAGGAGCTGTGTGAAGTGTGCTCTGAGGACAGAAAAACCCATGCCTGTTTCAGTTTCACTACACACCAAAAGGTTAACAGTGCCTTAGGCCAATTCTTCCAGACCCACGAAGACTTTTAGCTACAAGTGAATTAAACCTTCCCTTAAGCCTACTATCTCTGGTCAGACAATGGATACAAGGTAAACAGAGTGCTGTTATCTGCTTATTTTACAATTTAGGCACATACCAGTCCACTGGAACTTCAAAGGAACTTTATATTCATTTTAGGTAAACTTTAGTGGCAGTTGTTAAGCAGAAGTTCTCAAGGATAAAGGATTATGAGAAATACAATACGGTCTTACGTTTCAAAAGGTGACTGTAGTCTCACTTTCTGATGTCCTACTTCTGAACTGGTTTTATGTGTCCCATATATATAGGAACAAACGAACGAGTATTTTAAAATAAAACTAAATAAGGATGGCTACGATGCTGTAAGGAGCTGTTATGCTATTTGAAACATCCTGACATCCCTTCACTTGCAAAAGCATGCAAAAAAGATACTTAAGACAGGAGTTATTTCTGTCTTCTTCTTTTACTTCAGTTCTGGGTCTTGTATAGGAAAGACAGGACCAATATGATGTTTCTAGAAAGCAGAATGCCTTTGATTTTCCTGTAAAGACTGGAAGTAAAAGGCTGTAACCAGAAAAAAACCTCGTTATGCTGTTTGACAGGCTTGAAGTAAATCCCTCCGTCATTTTGAGAGAAACAAAACTGCTTCAAATAATCATTCTGTTTTCACCATTAGTTTCTTCACTGGTAGTGGTAACCAGTTTATTCAAACACATCCAGGAACAACACTTTATGACAGTACACTACTGCATTTCTTTTTCTTATAAGACAATCATGGCTGGGAAAGTGAATATAGAGAGGTGTTCTTTCTGTAGGTACTCTACAAAATTTCAGTTATTTGAGCTGTGTTAACTGAGGGAGATTATTAGACTGAGATGCTAGGACACAAAATCTCTTTAAAAACCCCTCAAAATTCATTTCACGCAACATACAATGTTTAAAAAGTACATTTTATTTTAATAGAAATAACCAAGAACCAGATGCATGATAGTTAATTTTACAAAAGCTCTTGTACTTGCAAGCTAAAAATCAAACACAAATTATTTATATCTTGCTTGCTTCTTTTCTCTGTTGTCCAAGTGAAAACCATTACAAAGAGTAAATTTCTTCATTTTACTAGAAAAAAGGCATTATACTGTCAAGTTTCATACTGAAGGCAAATGCTTATTTTACATTTCAGTAACCCAAAAGAAAATTTTATGGTCTCCTCCAACTGCACATAATGGAAGAGTTCTGTGCCATGTCAAACCAGATCCTACAGCTGCAGTTCCACTAAGAATGGGCTTTAAAAAACAGAGAGAGAGAGAGAAAAATATCAATACAACTTCCCTTAAAATGATTTCTATACTGCAGACACCAAGTTGCACAGACAAATAAACACCACAGATTAAATGCTCCTTAATAAATATAGTTAAAATACTGCAGAAATTCTACTGAAAAATGTGATTCTCTGCTACATAGTTCCAGTAGCTGCTTACTACATGTAACATACAGGAAAATATTCCATAATAACAAATAATTTCAACTCTTTACATTACTATAAACACTATTACTATAAAGGCATGATGTCAGAAACCTTTTTAAATGAAATTACTTCTGTTATTTCAATGTACTCATAACTAATATGTTTGGAGGTAATGTAAACATTACAAACATATACTGACTCCAGCAAAACCAAAATATTTTCTATGCTTTGCATTTTCTTTCAGGATTTAAAATATAATTAGTTAAAACCAGAAAAATACAACACTAGGTGTTTTTAGCCTCCTTAGAACTAGAAATATTTCCAGATTTATTAAATATCAGGTAAAGGTGTTTTTCTTCCCCT